ATGAATAGGCGTCTGCCAGTCCCAGCTGCAACTAATGAAGGTCTGGCCCCCGGAACTTGCCCGCTTACTCGTGTGCTGCCGTGCTGCAAGCGTTCTGCTCTTTCCGCCAGTCATGGTAGTAGCTCCTCTGTCTGCCTGCTTGGCTGGCCACTCAGCAGCTCTGTGGGGAGACTCACCATTGCGATGGTATATAAGTGGATGGGCCAGTTCTGGGGGGCAGACCCTTATTAGTTGCAGCTGGGACCGGGATACTCATATAAAAAAATGAATGTAAATATCCCCATCTTTACTTGTGAGCGAAGGCTTGACTGCAATGCTGCAGTTTAACCACTGCACCAAGAGGATCTTCTCTTCAACTGTGCTGCTCACATATGGTGGAACATATTTTCTTTAGAATTGGAGTCTGGTTTCTATGTCACTGCATTTAGGAAGGGTATGAAATGCATCTCTTCACTCTGGTCTTTCAAATTATTTTGCTGCTTAATGACTACTGCATTTTAATTGTGTTTTTGCCAAAATTTTGTGCTCCAGTGGCTTTATTGTTTAATTTTTTTAGGATTGTTGTTAGCTCCTTTAAGTGCTATTCATGGAAATAAAGATGTAGTCAAATAAACAATATTTGAATGGCCTTTGATTGTGGCGTTCTCCTCCCCCTGTCTTCTTAACCACAATACAAAACAGTGGTGAAGAAGCCGTGTAATCCTCCCTCCGGGAACATTATATGCATCAGTGAGGAAACGATTCTGAAATTCCTGCTCTGTTTGTACCTGTTGGTTCCTGTGGCAAGAGCATTAGTGACAGATTTATATCTTTTAAGGTTGAAATTACATGGTACAGCAAGGATATACAACACAGCACAAAATGTATAGCTCAGTTGTACATTGTTTCATATTTATAGTTCAGTGGTCCTGTGCATTTTGTTATTTATTTATTTTTATTTTTATTTCTTTTATTTATTGGTATCTTTTTCCCAGAATTGGGACCCAAGGTGGCTTACAGGTTACAACTATCCATCTATAAGTAAACTTATATATTATTAAAATACAATTACTAAAACATTTAATTAAAACACTAATACTATTTAACTTGAGAGAGGGAGAAGGAAAGAGAGAACTGGCACATCATCTTAAATCCTGTCGTTTCAGGGTATTAGTTGCCAGAGGTCTGCCCAAATAACATGAATTTTGCCCATCAGTGGAGGACTTCCACTGTTTGGGAGTAGCTGCAGAAAAATATCTTTCTCAAATCCACACCAAAGGGGCTTATGAGGATGGTGGGACTGTGAAATTTCCGAATCCAGCAGATTGCTAAAACATGGTCTTTTGGATAGCCGAAACTAAAGACATAAGGCTTTGTAGGTCATAACCAGTGCTTTAAATTGTCCCTGGGAATGAGCTGTTAGCCATTTACAGGGAAGGAGTTATATGTTCCCTACAACTGGACCTTAGCAGTGTGACTGCATTGCTTTGTACCCCCTTAAGTTTCCAAACTCTCTTCAAAGCAGTGCCGCATAGAAATCATTACAGTAATCCAGCTGGAATGTAAATAAGTCACATGTCACTGTAACAAAGTCAGACATCTCCAGGAATGGGCATTAGTATACTAGATGTAGCTGTGCATTTATGGCTGCTGTAGAAACTTGAGCATCCAGGGACAGGGGTAAATCTTGGAGTTTACACAAGCTGCAAAACTGAGTTTTCGGGAGAGGGTATAACTGGCACAGGTTGCATGCCTATTCCTTGACTTGGCTTTCAGTTGGCCAGGAACACCTCCGTCTTGTGTGAATGAAGGTCCCAGATGTCCAGTCTGATCTAGACTATTACTGGTGTGACAGATACTGGTTTAGAACTGAAACAGCTTCCTAATATTTAGACAGTGAGGAGAAAGAGGGTTGGGCTTCATTAGCGTACAATCAAACCTCGATTTCCGAATGTCCCTACCTGCGAACATTCCAACTTACGAACGGCTCCGTTCGCAAAAATTTGTATTGACTTGTGAACGGAGCCTCGACCTACAAAGGAAAAAGGGCAGGGGAATGTCGGGATCTGCAAGATGAGGGGAAGTAGGGGTCTTGCAGATGAAGCCTGTCTCGGGATCTGCAGATGAAGCTCCCTCCCCTCTTGACCAGCAAGGAGAAAGGAGACGAGCGCAAAGGGTGGGAAGTTCAAATTTCCCCTGCCTTTTTTCGTTCCATTCAAACTGTTGGTGGCGAAGAGGCTGCGCTTTCACCCCAGCGGTTAGGAAAAGGGACCCCCAGGAGGTCTCCCTGGGCTTCCCCGCTGCCTCAGGCTTTCCCGGGGGGGAGGGGTAGACCAAGCCTACCAGGGGAAGCCCTCCCCTGGTAGGCCCATTCTACTGCGGCCCCCGCCACAGCCGGGGGTGAACAGCCGAAGCACCCTGGCCAGACTCAAGCCTCAAGGCGGCGGCAGTTAACAGTGGTGGCGATCACAGCACCGGGGACCCCCAGGAGGCTTCATAAGTGCTGCTTCCAGGCTCAAGCCTCATGGCGGCGGCAGTCACGGTGGTGATCGCAGCGCCGGAGACCCCCAGGAGGCTTCATAAGTGCTGCTTTTTTCTTTTTAAAAACTGTTCTGGGTGGCTTTTGCAGGGTGGGTTTGGGCTGGGATGGTTATGTTTCTGTGCTGTGTTGTTTTTTGGTGATTTTTTTTTTTTTTTGCAGTCCCAGCATGGGACTTGCTCCAATGTTTATTTTTGGATTTGTTTGTTTTTGTTTCTTGTTTTGTTTGCAGTCCCAGCGTGGGACTTACAGTGTTTTATTTTCATTTGGTATCCTTTTTTCTTCCCCCGGAACTCATTAATCGGTTTTCAGTGCATTCCTATGGAAAATGGTGCCTCGACCTACGAGCTTTTTGACTTGCGAACACCGTTCCAATACAGATTGAGTTCGTAAGTCAAGTACCACTGTATTGGTGGCACCAACTACAAAAACTTGAAACTTATCGCAGAAGTTTCAAGTAGCATAAAGGAGAATACAGAGCCGAGAGGAAACATAATGGACCAGTGCCTGGGATGTCAAACAGGAGTCTCCCAGTATCACCTTCTAAAAATCGGTTCTGGAAAGATCAGAGAAGTCCACCACTCTTTCTTATCCAGTGTCTGTTGTAGGTCATCCACCAAGTCAGTAAAAGTTGTTCCCATCCCATACTTATTCCTGCAGCTAGATTGAAATGGATCTGGCTAATCTGTTTCATCCTGGGATCTCTGGAGCTGATGCTCAAGCACCTTGCTGTGAAATGATGTATTGCACACTGGCTGGTAGTTATCCAGCACAGTGGAGTTTGGCGAGGGCTTTTTTCAAAAGTGGTCTTTTATCTGCCTCTTTTAGGCCGGTCAGAATCTTCTCCTTTTGAGGAGAGGCATCCAGTGCTTTCTTTATCTACTTAGCTAGACCTCCCCTGCTCACTTAACCAGGAAAGGCATGGTTCTGGAACACATATGGTGGCTTTCAACACCCAAAGAGTCTTACGTGTGGTATACATGACCATAAGGATAAACAGCTTTGATTATGTAATTAGTATCATAGACGAGTACTGGAGCAGGATACAGTCATTCTTCTACAAAAGTTGAACCTTGTAGTCCTTTCTCTTAGGAGCAACCTATGTACTCTGATGAATGGATAAATCAGTCTTTTCCTGTATGGCAATTTTAAGAGGGATTTTCTCCTTGAATCGTGGCTTGAATTCTTTGGACTTTGTTCACTATAATCTTATTATGTAACCAGCTACACCTGGATGGCATATTTATTGTTGCAACTGGCTTATCTTGAAATTACTTTGATTAGCTGTCCTCTGTGTGTTAATGGGGCCAGTGGGGGGGGGGAGGAACTGATTAAAAGGCTTTGGTTATTTACAATCCTTGCATGAAGCAGGCAAAATGGGGGAAACCCAAGTGTCTGTGTTGTGACTCCCCCATTTTTATATATGTTTTTCATTCAATAACATGTAAGTCTTGACTTCTCTACGTATATAGCTTTTTAACTTGGGCCAGTGAAACCAGGGAACCTTCTTGTTTTCTTTCTGTGGCTGCCGTTTCAGTGTAGTTGTGTCCATTTCTGGGTAAAGGATAAAAAGACCAGGGTGGGTCTGCATAGTATCACTTCTGTGTTGTCCTTCTTAGAACAACAACAACAACAACAACAACAACAACAACAACAACAACAACAACAACAACAACAACAAAATCTTAAAATCAAAATCACACAAAATGAGATTTTCAGATTGCAGGATTCATAATCTCTTGACCCCCACAGTTTTCCCCTCTGAAGAATTGACCCATTATAGCTATTTTTTCCCATTCTAAGGTATCCTTTTCCCAAAATAATTCTTGGCTAAAAATATATTTCAGAGGAAATTCTTAGAATCCAATTTATGATATATTTCCTCCTCCTTTGCCATAATCTTGCTCAGTCCTTTTGTACTTCTGCCTAAAAAAAGTGATTGTCCCACCTTCCCTTGCCAAGGATATGTTATGCTTTGCTTGAAAACGTTTGCTTGCTACCATTCTAAACTTTGAAGCTAGAGATTAAAAGGCCTGGGTGGAAATGGAGGAGATGTGGACCAAACCTGGCCAGTGTCCTGCATGAACTGACAGTGGGTCCTAGAACCTCAGCTCAGTCAGGAAGTCTGGGCATTGGCGTCTTCCCAAACTGACCTCTTCAAGTTCTTACTAGAATATTTACCATGTTCCTCTGCAATGGACTGGGGTTTCATGGCAGACACGAAGAGGTCCGGAGTAACTTGGAAAAGCAGTCCACTAAATATGTAGGGCTGTTCTTGGAGAGAAGAAGATGAACTGCCTACAGAGTTTGAGGACAGTTTGAGAATTTCAACCCACTTCTGTGGCTAATGTGAGCTCGAATGTTTTTAAATGTAATTATGATGATAACAGGTCATGTATGAACATGCCCTCGTCTTTCTGACCAGGCCATGTTATTCTCCATTTAATTAACCAGTGCTTTTTTCTTGTGGCTTTCCTTTTAGCCAGAAGAGTCGGCCTTTCCTCCTATACCTCGCTCTGGCTCATATGCATGTACCTTTAGTATCACCCAAGTCACCACAGAGGTTGCCCCATCAAGATCCATATGGAGCAAACCTGCAGGAGATGGATGCCCTGGTGGGACGCATTAAGGACAAAATTGACAGCATGAAGGAAGACACTTTCCTCTGGTTCACAGGTGAGGCAGCAAAACCCAATCACCCTGTAACAAAGACTGCTTAGATAGCTGGTTTTAGTAGGAATCACTCAGTGCTCTAGCAGCAGTTCTTAACCTCTTCTTTACCATAGACTCCCTTTAAATATCTTTTGTCGCCATGGGCAACCAGACTTAACTCAAGATTTAAAACTCTAAAGTGCATCAAATATTTATTTAAAGTTTCTCATGAATGGTCTCATCGGCAGATATTTCTTGCTGTAACAGCGACACTTTTTAAATTGACTGGAAGAAGCTTTGTTTTGCTTTGAACCGGATCCACCCTCATCAATAGCATCAGTTCTTTTACATTTCAGATTCAGCCAGCAATCCATTCTGAGGCTCAGCCAAAATATATTGTTATGAAAATCACTGTGGTAATATCAAAAACTCACTTTACCTGACAGTAATCAAATGGTTTTATTAACAGAATTTGAAGAAGAAACACAATCACAAAGTCCACCCAACACTCACACTGATATAGACTGACTCTGGCTCTTTCTTCCCACGGCTTGTGACTGTCTACACAGAAGCTAGAAATGTCACGTGCTGTCTCTCAGCCACTCAGCATCATTCATTTGCCTGTTCTCACCATGTGAAATATCAAAGTTATTTACTATCAAACTGTGATTTTCATAACCGATTTTTACTTTTGTTTGTTGTTAATAGAGGCGGTAGGTTAGAAAAGCCAAGTTTTACACAAACAGCAAGGGAGATTAAGATTTTGTTTTATGTTTCCTTTCCTTTCTTGCTTTCATTCGTTCATTAATTCATTCGTTCATTAATTCATTCATCATTCTGTTTTAACTGCAAAAGTTTATAAAATTTATTCTAGATCCCCCCTGAGGACATTGCAGCCCCCTGGGAGTTCATGGATCCCAGGTTAAGAACCTTTTTCTATAGGAAAAACAGAAACATTTGAGAGGGATTCAGCTCAATTATTAGGGCCCAATGTGGATAAATTAGTCTATGGGAGCAAATGGTGAGCAATAATCATCAAGCCCATTCTCTGATTTAATCTCTGTGGTTATTCATGGGAATAAATGGTACCAGTTTAAATGCTCACAAAAGCAGCCCTCAATTCCGATTCCTTCTCTTGAGGGTCTTGGATAATTTCTAACTTAATCTGATTAGAGTTTTGGAATGCTTACCCATTGTTTACTTTTTAATGAATGCTGCTGCTTTCCTTTGCCCTTTGGAATGGTTGTTAAACTTACTGAACCCACTCGATGGCTCATTTGGACAGGGGTGCCTGTCATGAATGTTTAGTTTGATTAATGGATTGGGACATTCTTATGTTTTGCCACTGTATATTACTTTCTTTTCTTTTTCTTTTTGCATATTTATTAATTTTATAAAACCACTCTCCTGCTTTTGCCTGAGGCTTCCTGGGTTCTCCAGTTGGAGGACCTCGCCATCTCCACAGCTCCTTGACTTCCCTCATGTTGTAGCATGAGCTGCCCCCAGATCACTCACTGCCCTCTGCATGCTGCCCTGTGCGCTGTGGAAGCTTCTTTATTATTTTAAGCCTCCCTCCTCATTCTTCCTAAGGACTGGACCAGAGATTTGGAAAGAAGAACAGCACAAGATAGCCCTAAACTGTTTTTATGTCAGCCAGAATAAAGCACTGTCAGGTTGAATGTGTAAATGTATGTCGTTCCTCAGCTTAATCTGAGTTGCATTTTTAGTACAGTGGTGCCTCGCTAGACGATGATAATCCGTTCCACTGAAATCAGTGTCTAGCGAAATCATTGTCTAGCAAAAAGCAAATCTCGTCTAGCAAAAATCGGTTTGCGAAGCAGGGACCAAACATTGTCCAGCGAAATTCCCCCATAGGAATCACTGTTTTGCGAATCGCTATAGCGATTGCAAAAAGTCAATGTCTAGCGAAAAAACTGTCATGCGGGGTAACTGTCTAGCGAGGCACCACTGTATAGTTTTTGTCCTTTATTGATATATCTCTCTTGCATTTTCAAGCCTCCTTGGAAGGCTTAATATTCTGAACGATGGAATAGTAAATAAGTAAGGAGTATTTTAATAATCCAGACAAGACGGAAGTGCTGTTAGTGTAGGTAGAGCCATAAATTAGCACTCTAATTGCAACTTTTTTTTGAAGAAGCTTAGAGCAGCTTCCAGTCAGTCTCTCATTCAGGTACCTGTTCATGTGAGTCCAAGTAACAGCATGGTTGTGGATGTGTTTTAATTAACTGAGTTTACCTAGTCATGAATCCAGTGGTGTATTTGGTTGGACCTTGGCTGATTTATGTATTTATTTGTCTTATTTATAGGCAGCCTTTCTCCTGACAAGGGGACTCGAGGCGACTCACAGTTTTAAAAAAGTGGAATAAACCTGCCCCCCCCCAGTAAATTATATTTTAACAATGAAGTCTCACAGAAGGCCCTTGAAATGAATGTTGTATCAATGTCAGTGAGGTTCCCCTTTCAGCAATAATAAAGATGTGCCGTCAAGGTGATTTCAAATTGTGGTGACCTTCCCAGGGTGTTCTAGGTATAAAGTCATCACATGTGGTTGCAAAAGTGTCCTCTGTCTAGTGTCACACTAGGATTGCACAATTTGCCTAAGTTCACACAGGTGGCAGGGCAGACAACCCCATTAGCCACACATGCTTAGGTGATCTTGGCTGGCCCCTTTCCTTATAGTTTCAGTGGGACATGGAACTCCAAGCCCCCGACTGTGCAGCCTTGTGTAGGACATGCAAGCTGCCTGAATATATGTGGATATGTGGGTGCATAGTGAATAACTGTATGCTTTCAGGTCAGTTCTGACTTGTGCTGAATCTTTCCAGAGTTTTCTAATAGAAACTTCCCAGAAGTGGTTTACTAGTACTGTATTCCCTTCTTCTGGGGCACTCTGGGACTGTGGAGCTTGCCCATGGCCACACAGGCTGGCTCTTCTGGAAGGCGTTATGGGGAATTGAACTCCCAAACTCTAGCTCCACGGCCAGATGCTTAACTCACTGAGCTACAGTATCTAGCCAGCTTTTTTGCCGATGTATAAACTGACCCATTTGGCCATTTTAGGAAAGTCATTGTAGGCGTCAGGGGTCCATTTTGGGCTCTTACTTTTTTCTAGATCATTGGTTCTTAACCTTGGGTTACTCAGGAGTTTTGGACTGCAACTCCCAGAAGCCTTCACCACCAGCTGTCCTGACAGGGGTTTCTGGGAGTTGCAGTTCAAAAGCATCCGAGTAACAAAGGTTAAGAACCACTGTTCTAGATTCTGAGACTGTGAAATACGGAAGCCTGAGAGACATTGGCTGTCTTTGGTCAGTTGTGTAATTTCATTCAAATGGACAGACCTTGTCACCCGCATTTAAATATTAAAACATAAATCCTCATTAAATAGGAACAAGATATCCCCTTCCTAAATCCTCTGTTAATGAGGTTGCTTTCTTCCAAATGAAAGGAGTCAAGCCATGGCTCATTAAAACCCAAGGCAAACTGTTCCTTACTATTCTTTTCTCTCCCCATGTTTGAGTTACCAGACTGGAAGGTTAAGCCTGCCTCCCCACTGAGAAAATGCCATATTTTTTTCCCCTTGAAAGTTGTTTCCATTCTCTGGAGAAAGTAGCAATTCAGATTTCTTTTGAGCCTTTGTGTGGTCACCTTGAGGCTCAGCCCTGAGCAATGTTCTTGGGAGAGCTCACACAGGCCGCGGTGGCCCTGGTTCCTACTGTTACCCCTTTGTACCATCACAGGGCATGACCTGGGCCTTATTCCGCTGCCCCCCCTTCTCTTGCCCCCAAGCAGCAGTAGCTGCTGGGGCACTGTTCCTCTTGCTTCTCAAACTGACAGGAAGATTTCTGCACAATATTTTCGTGCCTCTGATTAGTTTTTATTGATACCTCAGTGAGCCTTGGGAGTTTTACATGGGTCTTTTTCATGGGAATCTCCCACATCAGTACATTTAAGGTTTGTGCATTTATTTGTTACATTTATATCTCACCTTTTTTCAAAGGAACTCGAGGTTGCATATCTATTTTTCATTTTTATCTCTCGTCCTGATTTTTCTCCTCACAACTACTATATGAGACACACACACACACACACAGAGCACTGTGCAAATATTTTGTTGTATAATGCAGGCTCTTAACAAGTGCTAGAGTCATGTTGCTTCACTTCCAGTTACTATTAGCATAGCACAACTCATCACACCTTTTCAAACTAGTTCAGAGTTGTTTTTGAGAGTTCGGATTTGGAGACACGGGCAATCTGTGCCCGGAAGAACAACAACTTTTTGTTTCTGTAACTGAGACCAAATCTGGCTGAGAGTTCGTGGCTTATTGAAGGCAATGTCAAGAACACCATAGGTTATAGCTGTGAAGGCGAGACCATTGGTGATGGGATTTGCCTAGCCCAGCAGTGAAGATTTTTTTGGAAAAAATATGTTGGAGGGCTATCCCAAGTCTGGTGGGCCTTGTCCTACAATATTTAACTTAAAGCTAAAATTGATTTTTCCCCTCCATTCATATTGAAAAACAAAACTTACCTGCAATGAAAACATTTATTGACGTTGAAGTGTTGATTTCCTTGTTTTCTGACCCTTTGCCTTGTTTGGTATGTACCATTCCATGACCCAGCTTGCTGTGAAAGAACCCTTTCATAGTGTGTTAGAAGGAAACTTGTTGAGTACTCCTGTGTACTGTACATATTCCTTCACTGGAAGTAGCTTTATTTAACAAAAGTAATGTTCATTGGAAAGAAACATTGGACCATGTTTGTGTTCTATTGTCACTACCACCTATCTCCTTGTTCTTAATTAAGTACACTTTCCTGTTATGTTTTTCAATAAGATGTTACCTTTTCTTCCTAGGAGACAATGGCCCTTGGTCTGAGAAGTGCCAGTATGCGGGGAGTGTTGGTCCATACACTGGAATATGGCAAAGAAAGAGAGGTAATTACTAGCACTCATTGTTTCCGTGACTGGCTATTTGGGTGTGGTTTTTTAGATGGATTGTTATGTATTACTGCTTTTTCTGGGTTTTTAGTACTGTGTGTGTTTTCCATTTCTTAGAGTGGGATTTGTTTGTTCCTTATTTTGTTTACTTATTGTTTTAGCTTTAATATTGTCTTTTAATTATCTAACTTGTCTCTTCATACTCATTGTTCTTAGCTTTAAATACTGCCTTAATGATGTAAACCACTGTTGTATACTTATTGTTTTCAGCTTTAAATATTGTCTTTCAAGGATGTAAGCTACCTTGGGACGTATTTAAGAAGAAAGGTGGTTTTTAAAATATTTTAATTGCTTAAATAAACAAAATGATTGGTGTGGGTCTGAGGGCCAAAGAAGGTCATGCAACTTTAAAATTAAGGCAAGGGAGGCAACTTGTTTTTGCAGCCTTTGCCTCTACCCCAAATCACCTGGCCCACTTGACCTCCCCCCCAAATTTCTCCCACCCCCAGCAAATAACAGAGAATGTGAATTGATGCCGCTGTATGTTTCAAGAGTGTCTGTTCATCTTTTATGTGGATTGAAGGGTCCCTCGCTTCCTTTTAATGTTAAAGGTTCTTCAGAACCAGAAGGAGGTGGAAAGTTGTTTCTGTTTTCATTTTATTTTTATTTTTGGGGGCATTTAGGAGGGTCTTTTGGGCCACCAAGGGATCCTGGTGGTAGAAACGATTAAAATGGAAGAATTGGAAGTCTCCTTGGGAATTTGGGAAAACCTAGCAAAACGGGGTGGGGTGGGGAAAAAGCTACACTTGCTGTTCCATAAAGAAACCTCAGTTTCCGAGAAATAATCCCAAATGGGGCACTATGTACTTTTTCATGGAACCATTGGTAGAAGCAAACTACTATATATAGAACCATACTTAGTGGGCCTAGGTGGAAGTGTAGCACAAACCCTCATTAGAGGTGGAGCCTAGCTGATGAATTTATCCTGGAAGAGGGACTTCTTGGAATCTGCTGTGGCCTCCTCCTGTTTATAGCATTTAACCATATTGAAATCTTTGTCTTGCTAGAGGCAACGAGTGCCCAAAGACGCTACCTTTGCCTCTCTGTTTTTTTTTAACATCTTACAAAGAGGGCTCAGATCAGAGCTCGGCTTGGGTTTCGGCCTTGCAGTTCAGCTTGAGTAGCATCGGGCTGAGTTGTTTATGCTAAGCTATGTAAGAGCATAAAGCAGGCCTTTCTGGGTTCTGCTTGTATAACACTTGGTGTATCTGTGAGTGTTTGAAGTCATAATTTCCCGGTTGCTCTTTGGGATTTCCACATCTGCTTCCTGTCAGTTCCCAAATATAGAAAGGAGTGGCCAGACTTAGTATATGATAAAAAGCTATTTCAGAACCTACAGTCCTAGGATTTTGCTCGTCTTTGTTCAAAATCTCTTCCGTAGTTTTGAATGATCATCTCTGGCCCCGTAATGTGAACTTTTCACTTAAAGTTAAACTGTTCAGCATTCTTCTCTCTTCCACCACCACCCCCTTTTTAAAGTAATTTTAAAAACATTTTATCATCTGCAGAGTTGTATAATAAATGTAAAGAACTGTAAAGGGCAGCATCTAAATGAAAGCTAATAATACCCAATAAGGTTGTGTAAAATACAACAAGGATGTTGTTTGACAAGTTATGCATGGATGTTGCTATAATTAACAATTGTGTGTGTTAATTTTGATTTTGTTTTGTACCTCAAAAGGGAAGGGCTCTTCCACGTTATGAGTCATGGCGAGTACAGTGGTACTTCCAACTCTAGAGTAAGTTTTCTACTCAGAACCTGAGGAAGTTACTTTTTTGGACTTCCAAATTTCAGAATCCCAATAACTCCAGTACTGGCTGGGGGATTTGAAGAGTTGCTTGTTGGAATCAGTGACTTTCCCAAGAGCTGGTTCTGTAGAACGTGTAGTCATTTGAGCCAGGCAGCAAGAGTCAGGGAGGGTTATTTCCTTCATGCTGTACTATCCAGAACCATCTGAGCCCTTTTCACGTATTCTTAAAGCATGTGGAGAGATTTTTGTTTCCTGTATCTTTCTTAGGTGGGGTGCATCTATAGATGTAGCACCTTCCCTCTCTTCAGATTCCTGTTTTCATCTGTTTCCCCAAAGATAAGACAGGGTCTTATATTAATTATTGGTCCAAAAAACACATTAGGGCTTATTTTCAGGGAATGTTTTATTTTTTTCATGTGCAACAATCTACATTTATTCAAATATAGTCATTTATTTATTTATTTATTCATTCATTCATTCATTCAGTCAGTCATTGATTCATTCATTCATTCCATTTATACCCCGCCTATCTGGTCATTGCGACCACTCTAGGCAGCTTACAACATAAAATGAAAACATATATATAACATAATTACATAATTAGAAAAAATTAGAATTTTTTTTCCCTCCAAGATGGCAAGAAAAAGAAAATAAATTATAACAAATAAGAAGGGAAGAAAAATTAGGAATTAACTGGAAGTGGGGAAGGCCTGCCTAAACATCCAAGTTTTCAGTTGTTTCTTAAAAATACCCAGCGAGGGAGCCGCTCGAATCTCTGGAGGTAAGTTGTTCCAGAGGCGAGGAGCCACCACCGAGAAGGTCCAGTTTCTTGTTTTTTCCTTCCGGGCCTCCCTCGGCGTCAGGCTCCTCAGCCTCACCTCTTGACTTGCGAGTGACACGGGTAGTACTAGGTGGAAGTAAGCGTTCCGCGAAGTATCGAGGTCCTAAACCGTTTAGGGCTTTATACGTAAGCATCAAGACTTTGAAGTCAACGCGGAACCGAATGGGCAGCCATTGCAACGAGGCCAGAATAGGAGAATTGTGATGGTATTTTCTCGCTCCGCTAAGGAGTCTGGCCACCGCATTCTGCACCACTTGGAGTTTCCGCGTCAGCCTCAAAGGTAGCCCCACGTAGAGCATGTTGCAGTGTTCTAATCTCAAGATTACAAGCGCATGTATCAAGGTGGTGAGCACCCCCACATCAAGATAGGGTCGCAGCTGGGCTATCCCCCAAAGATGAAAAAAGGCAGTGCGGACCACCGATGCCACCTGTGTCTCCATAGTAAGTGCCGGGTCCAGATGGATTCCCAGACTGCAAACCCCACTCTTTGCGGCAAGGGTCACCCCCCCAAAAGAGAGGGAGTCACCCAAGCCGCCAACATTGGGGGAACCCACCCTCAGGACCATCGTTTTATCTGGGTTCAGCCTCAGCCTATTCTCCTGCATCCATTGCAGTAGGGCCCCCAGGCAGCGCTGAAGGGACAGAATGGCATCACCTGCAGTAGGTGGAAAGGAGATGTAGAGCTGGGTGTCATCCGCATACTGAGGACATGATGCTCCACACCCCCTGATGACCCCACCCAGCGGCCTCATATAGATATTAAACAGCATTGGGGAGATAATCGATCCCTGTGGAACCCCACAGTTGAGACTCCATGGGGCTGAGACACTCTCCCCAAGCTGTACTCTCTGAGGCTGGTTCCCCAAGAAGGAATGGAGCCAGGCAAGTGCCAGGCCACCAATTCCCAACTCGGAGAGCCTCCCCAGGAGGATACCGTGGTCGACGGTATCAAAGGCCACCGAGATGTCGAGGAGGACCAACAGAGATATTTTACCCCTGTCAGCCTCCCTCAACAGGTCATCGTACAGGGCGACCAATGCCACTTCTGTACCATGGTGCGGCCTGAAGCCTGACTGAAATGGATCCAGGGCATCTGTTTCATCCAAAAGAGCCTGAAGCTGGTCAGCCATCACCCTCTCCACCACTTTACTGATGAAAGAAACATGACAGAAGAAGTCATGTCATCTTCTTCTGGTTGCTGCACAATAGTGGAGGGCGGGGTTTCACTTATGTGGGGCTTATTTTGGAGGTAGGGCTTACGTTACGAGCGTTCTGAGAAATCATACTAGGACTTATTTTTGGGGAAACAGGATAGTGAAAGTGATAATAGAGGGAGAGGGCCTAGCGCACTCCCCTCATTCCATGTGCTTTCTGTACAGTTTGAGAAAGCCTGGATAAGGCTCTGATTGGCCACTGTTTGAAAACAGAATACTGTATACAAGATTCATCAAGACTTCTGCAATTTAGTCATAATATCTCTGTAACAGTCTATATAAATTTAGTATCCGTTCCATTTAACACTAGAAGCCTACACACATGCATGGACTAGCTGCTTCTTGTTTTAACTGATTGGTTATAATTGAGTGATTTTTTTTAGAATCATCCTTATTGATTTTTAAAAGCCCATGGAAGAAGGCAGCAATTATAGTTTTAACTAATTAGCTCAGGTTGTCTAATCTGTAATAAATCAGTATATGTAAAACTTACCAAGTCAGTATTTTCAGCAAATATCTCTCTTCCTGCAGACTGAGGAGAAAAATATAACAGTTTATCATCCTTGTTTGCAAGGGCAAAAATTTATATCCCTAGGTAACATATCTAAATTGACTTTACATCCAGCAGTCCTCTAATTATGTTCCCAGGACTGATCTGGGAAACTTTCTTCTCAATCAATCTGAAATGAAATTGAATTTATTACAAAAACCAGCACCAAAGAAAAGGTACAGTACAAACCAAAACAAAATGTGCAACACGTGTTATGGCAAACTCTGCATCTACATATTATGTAAAACATCTGCCACAAGTATCCAAAACTGAGAGAAAGAATCACTGTTAACAGAGAGCAGCAGCAGCTGCACATAATTTGTCCACTTTATTAGTAATATGGGGAACCTGATCAGAAAGAAACCAGGAGATAAAAAATTCTTCTGTCAGTCAGTCTATAACATTTAAGGAACTTGGAAAGGATGGTATCAAGATTGATGCATTCAGGTGGTAGATCTATATTATAAGATATAATAGGAATTAGAAAGTAGCAGCAGAACTGGTGGTTATGAACTCTGGCAGTGATTACCTGCTTGCCTCAAGCATTTGTTCTGGGAGAGAACAGGTGATGATGATCAGAA